TTCACCTATAATACTTTGTATATACATCGGTTTTAAAACAATATTGTTAAGTTTCTTTTCCTATAGCAGAATTTTTTTTTTCCACAAAAACGAAAATGGTACCAGGAAAAAATCATAATCACCATTGTAGAAAAAGAAATCATTAGACTTTTTCATGTTAGGAGTAATTACAGAAAAAAATAGTTTCTAAGTTTTCTTATCCATATATCTTTATATGTATGTTATCTATGACGATGACTGTATCGTCATTGCTTTTACTCACAATCGCGCAGTTAATATTATTTCGCCTGGAGGACTATTTTTTAAAGCGAAAGTTTCGTTGACCTTTATTCGGGGATTTTTAATTCCTTTAAGTGATATTCTAAGATTGCAAATAATGGAAAAATTAACTACCATTAATTATAATTGCCATTGATAACTACAATGAACTGTAGCTATCATTGACTCTAACAACCGTTGATTATAATTATAAATTATAACTACTACTACACTACAATAATTTGAGAGACCAAAATGTGGAACAAAGTAAAAAATTGATCTAAATTTTTGTATCAAATTGATGCACTTTAGTATCGATTTGATACTTTCAAGAAAAGTGTGATAATTAATTTTTTTTAAAGACTATTAAAGACAAATCAGACAAATGTTGACTCTTGAAAAATATTTGAAGTTCAATAAAACCAAACATAAGTATTTCAAGAATATATGATTCAACATTTTGTATTAAAGTCGTTATTAAATCAATCATATCATGAACTATAATAGAAATTTAATATATTACATACATTATGACATTGATGTAAGTCTATAATTGAGAGGGTAGGAAGGTCGATATTTATCAAGATATTTATCTGTGCAAGGTTAACGCAGGAGGAGAAAGTTACGAATGCAAATTATTTTTGTGAAATATTCCCATTGTATTTGTAATCATAACATTTTGTTGTTAATTCAACAGTCATTAATCAAATCAATGCAGTTCAACGCGAAATTTTGTCCTGAACAAATATAAATTCTATAAAAAATAGTGCTGAAAGATTTTTAAAAATATTCATATTTCGAATGTGAAAAATGGAGCAGTAAAATAATTCATTTCTTATTTATTATCCTATTTTCTTTACTATTTTACTATTTTTTTTTATTTTATACTTTTACTATTAGTTTATTATTATTATGTTTTTATTTATTTTTTATTTTTTTTAATTTTATAACTTTATTATTTGGTATTCTTGTCTTGTTTCATTTATTTCTTATTGCAGATCAACGTATTTTTCTTTCGATTACTAAAAAATTTGTAAATTTACTAAAATTTGTATTAAAAAAATTTGTATTAAAATATTTGTATAAAAATTTGTATAAAAATATTTATATTAAAATTTGTAAATTACTAAAATTTGTATTAATTATTATTAATGCAATTATTTCATTGAAGAAATATGATGATTCAATAAATTGATATTTGTAAAATTAATACAATTAGAAAAAAAAATTTTGTTAAAGATAAAAAAATAGTTTTCCGGGTTTACAAAATTAAAAAAGGTGATAAATATTGCAACGTTTGTTTACCAAAAAGAAAGAAAAATGGAAATTTTCTTAAGACAATATATATTTATAAGAATGAAAATATCAAATTTATGTGACAATAACTATTTTTTAATTTATGCTTATAAAAAATTTTTTGTACAAAAATTCCGGAGAAAAGGAATTTTGTTGTTTGTATCTTTTTTTTATAAATTATAGTGTAATGAGAAAAACAAGTTTTATGATAAACTTTTTATTATATAGGTATTATTATTATTATTATTATTAATGCACTTGTCCTCAAGGATAGTATTTTTAATTACATTGTTTGAAAAAATTAAGTATATTTATTTAATATTAGGTATAGATTTCGATTTTTTTATAAAAATTTAAAAATTGTGTAAATTATTGATAGATTTTTAACAAAATTTTGTCTATAAATTATTCAAATGTATATTTGGAATGAAACTGTTTACCTGAACGAATTTTTTAAATAAGTTTTTCAATAAAAATTTTTAAATCAATTATTTAATGAAAATAGGTAAACAAATTTTTTAATAATCATTTGTAAACAAATTTTTAAATAAACATTTGCAAAACGAATTTTTTAATAATCATTTGTAAAGAAATTTTCCAATAAATATTTGTAAAACGAATTTTTTATTATAAACATTTGTAAACAAAGTTTTCAATAAATATTTGTGAACAAATTTTTTGATATGAAAATCTGCCAATAAATTTTTTAATAAACATTTAGAATAACGAATCTTTCAATGAACACTTGTAAATAAATTTTTCAATAAAGATTTTTTAATTAAACTTTCTGATAAAAATATCAGAATTTTTCAAGAAACATTTGTAAACGAAGTTGTCAATAAATATTTATTAACAAATTTTTCAGTAAACATTTGGAAATTAATTTTCCAATGAAGACTTTTGTAAAAAAAAATTTCAATGAAGATTTTTTAATTAAACGTTTTGATAAAAATTTGTTAAAAAATGTTTAATATCCTTATAATAAAAAGTGAGAATTGTATTAAATCGCTTAAGTTATTTCTCTGAACAAAAAATGCGATAATTAAATATGTAACCAAAACTGGATATGTCTTTTTGTAATTAAGTTGGTATTTCTAGAGTTACAGTAGAAAATTACTCTCTTCTAAATCTTGTCATGTGAATCATCATAGATTGTGTCAAAGAACAATTTGCACTATTTTTAATCGTATAAAAAGTATATTATATACTTTTTATATTTAATATTTATTATTATTATTAAAATTACAAAATTTTTTATTTTCAAATATAAATTTTTTGAATAAAGAATAAAGAATTCAATTATTTTTAAAAATTTTAATAAAGCCTTCTAAACAATATTCAATTATTTTTTTAAATAGTAAAATCTTTACAAAAATTCAATGATTTTCAAAATAATTTTAATTGAATTCCTCGGAAGAATTTAATTTTTTAAAAAAATTTTTTAACACATTTCGAAAAAATTCAATTTTTTTTATAAAATTTTAATAAATCCTTTAAAAAAAATTCAATTATTTTTATAAACAGTAAAATTATTCGCAATAATTCAATAGTATTTTCATAAATAGTAAAAATCTTTGCAGAAATTTTAATTGAATTCCTTGGATGAATTCAAATATTTTTAAATATTTCCAAAAAATTTTAATTATTTTTATTTAAATACTGAAATTCTTTGCAGGAATTAAATAATTTTTAATCCAATTTAAATAAAATTACACGAAAGAATTTAATTATTTTCAAAAATTTCCATAAAATTAAATTTCAACAAGAATTTAAAATTCTCTAAAAATAATTCAATTATTTTCAAAATATTTTTAAAAAATTCTATAGGAAAATCAAATTACTTTCAATGCAATTTTTAAATATATTCGTTAAAAAAATTGAAAGAATTCAATATTATTTTCAAAAAATAATAAAATTCTTGTGATGAATTCAATTATTTTCAATATTCTTAATTGTAATAAAATTCCTTAAAGAAATTAAATTATTTTCGAAACAACTTTAATTGAATTTCTCGAAAAAATGTCATTATTATCAAATATTTCTATAAAATTCTTCATAACAATTTAATTGCTTCTTGAAATTTTAATAGATTCTTCGAAACATTTCAATTATTTTTATAAATAGTAAAATTCTTCGCAAGAATTCAATTAATTTTATAAATAGTAAAATTCTTTGCAGGAATTCAATTATTTTCAAAACAATTTTAATCGAATTCCTCGGATGTATTCAAATATTTAAAAATATTTCCATAAATTTCAATTATTTCCTAAATTTTAATAAATTCTTCGAAACAATTAAATTATTTTTATTTAAATACTAAAATTCTCTGCAGGAATTAAATTATTTTTAATCAAATTTTATTGAAATTCTTCTTCATAAAATTCAATTGCTTTTAAAATTTTCAATTATTATTTAATTAATTAAATAAAAAATTAAATAATTAAATAATAATTTTTAGTGGTTATTAATATTAATATAAATGAAGTCCATTAATTAATTTAATATTATTTTCTTTAATATTTTGTTCTTGGTGTACCTAATCATTTTTTATATGTCATAATCTCATTCATTATTTTATAATTGGAAATTATTAGTAAAAATTGTTTATTATCAATAAAGCTTTTGATCAATTTAAACGAACAAAATTACGATTAATATAATATATGAATAATTTAATGTTAGTAAAACTAGAAAAGTAATAAAAAAATGCTGTAAAAACAATAAATAAATTTAGAAAATTTAAATAATAGCAATATATTAATTTTTGGGAGTTCAATAATCAGGGGTACCAATTTTTGGCCGTTTTCGGGAATTCCCACTAACCTAAAATCGAAGGAAAATTCGGAAAATCCTTTCATTTAATTCTTAAAATGTTTATATGACTTTATATTGCACTTTAAATTGTAGAAATATTGCAATCATCCCTAAATGTTAATATATCTCTGAAATATTAAAATATTGAGGGTAATATAATTATTGACATTGCTGCAAGTTTTGGTATATTTTTCTAGTTCTCTACAGAACTAAGCCGAATAAAATTCTTAAACTAATATCTTAACTATTCTTTAAATATCTTCTTATAATATAAAAGAAATATTATTGAAACTTACCCATAGTAGATTAAACAAGAAATCTGCCGTTAGGAAATTATTATAGTTAACCTCTTTATCCGTGTTCGCAGATTAAACATTTGGCGACATCTCTTGCTATCATTGAAATAATCCTCACTGACACTGCCTTTACTTATAAACATTTCTATTTATATTGTTATTAAACTTTTACTTAATGTACTCTTGCTTTTTTTTAATTTATTCACTTTTATTTCATGGATTTCATGTAAAAACAACGATGCAAATTTTGAAGAACAACAATGAACAATCTGAAATTGTCGAGAATCGATACCTTTAAATCGATTACCTCACTCGTTGACAACTTCAGTTCGATACAACATTCGATAGTGACGTATTCGATAAATATCCAAGAGGGCCGGGTTTGTTTACGTGTAAAAATATGTTAAATTCAGAAAAATATTTTCCTCATTAACAATAATGAAGTAAAAAATGAAAAACTATCAATTACAGTCATGAATGTAATGAGGTAGTATAATGTGTAAACGTTGTCTTTATCGATTAATAGACACCTCTAACAAAATACATTGACGAAGAGAGGTTATGTCCCATGACATATGCATATAAACATATACTTTCTTCTAATTAAAACATTATCTTTTATTGATAAAAAATAATTATACAGAACAATAGAAAAATGAGGCCAGGAGGAATGTTTGATATTTACGAGTTTGGAAAACGAATTCGCCGATTACTCGACGGCAATTACTCGTATCGAAAAATTTTAGTGCTCTTAATTATTTTTGGAGCAATTCTCCTCTATCTTGGACCACCTTTTGCTCAATGGCTTTTTTCAAGTAATGGCAAACCCATTGAAGGTAAATGTAAACAAAATTTATTCTTAAATTTATTTTATTTATTTTAAACATATATTTATTTTAAATTTATAAACATAACCTCAAAAGAAAAATGAATTTCTTTCAGCTTTTGAAGATCATTGTATGAACGAAAGACTAGCTGGCTTTCATGTCGATATTATGGATTACAATGCAAATGTTCTTCACGATCCTCCGAAAGAAACGGATCATCATTATTTACCTTATATTGGAAATGGTTTTATTGGTGTTCCCATTCTGCCGGAGGCATGGTTTTACATAAAGCACAAAAGAACGTTATCTTTACCTGTTTATTGGCAACCATTAATAACTGCTATTTTACCAGAAAGTAGCTCTTATCGAGAAGCTACTGTCACACATTATACCTCGGGTATCGTTTATAAATATCAGTGCCTTAGAGATGGTTATTATATAGTCTCCCAATACTATGCTCATAGAAGTTTCGATGGTATCCTCGTTCAGGATGTCAAAGTTGTTAATCCCTCAGCATTGTCACAGGAAGTTTTTCTAAAATCTCAAACATCAACACACTGGCCTGATACTCAGATTGAACCTATTAAGTGAGTATTAATCAGGCACCACAGTTGGTACCCTTTTGTCCCCTTTTTTCAATTTTGTTTGACGATTTGTCACCTTTTTCCCCTTTTTTGCTGATTTGTCCCCTTTTTCACATTTTTTCTAATAAAAAATAAAGTTTTTTTTTAAATCTTTTTCAAAGTGTAATCATAAAATTTAGACTCAATGTTATAGAATTCAGTGCGTTTTATTTATGATTTAGATTATTAACACCACAACATAATATAAATATGTTTTTTTATTTTAATGATTTAAATAATATAGATATCGTAAAGAATTTTATAAATTATAAGGTGGTTCATTAAACAGAATGCAGACCTCTAGAAAAATAATTAATTAACATTCAAATAATTCAAATATTATTATTAATTGTTTTTTCTAAAGAAAAACAAAAATTCTATTAAAAAACCTTCAATTTTTTCCATTTCTGACAATAATTTCTTTTTAAATAACTTAATTCTTGAAGAACTATCATAAAATTATAACTTTGAAATTATTCAAGTATTTTATTTATACATTTCAAAATTAATTGAATTTTAAAACAGTTTCGTTTACAATTTTCATAAATAGATGAACTTTAAAAGATTTGAATTTTAAATTTGATAAAATTTCAATTTTGAATGAATTCTGAAATTAGTTAAATTTTTTATAATATATATTTTATTAATTATTAAAAATAATTAATTTATCGAGGAATTTTAGTTAAAAACACTAAAAAAAGTTTGAATTTTGGAGAAGTTTCCAATAATTGCAAAAATTCAATTATTTTCAAAAATAATAAAATTCTTCTCAGAAATTCAATTATATTCAAAAATATAAAGAAATTATCATAAAAATTTCAATTTTCTTTATAAATAATAAAATTCTTCGAAATTCAATTATTTTCAAAAATTTTAATAAAATTCTTGGCAAAATTTCAATTATTTGCAAAAATTTTCCTAAATTCAATTCTTTAAAAAACAATTTTCATAAAATTTTTCGAAAAAAATCAATTATTTAAAAAGATTTTTATAAAATTATTTGCAAAAATTGAATTATTTTTAAAAAATGAATAATTCTTCACAAGAATTCAATTATTATTATAAATAATAAAATTCTTCTCGGGATTTCAATTATTTTTAAAATTTTTAATAAAATTCGTTGCAAGAATTCAATTATTTTCATAAATAATAAAACTCATCCTAGGATTTCAATTATTTTTAGTACAATTTTAAATGTAGGTATTCCTCGAAAAAATGCAATTAATTTAAAATATTTTTTTTAAATTCTTGGAAAGAATAATTTCTGAATAGTGGAAATTTTTGTAAAATTGAATTGTAAGCAAATACATTTGAAAATTCTCAAAAAGTTTTTTTTTAAAATTATTAAAAATAATTGATTTAAAGAAGAACATTATTTTGAGTATCTAATTATTTTTAGAGTGAATCAGAATAAAAGATTTGAATTATTATATGCAAGTTGTATAAACAAATAAATTTTTGTTACCTTTTTGAGGAAAAAAATTCCCCTTTTTTGATAAAAAAAATATTCGAATGAAAAATATATATTCTAATTTGTTTTATTTTTACAGAATTATCTTGGATGGAACAATTTTTGAATTCAATTTGATTTCGGGACATGTGTCATTACCCGAGACAAATAAAATTATTGCTATATCAATTGTTTATAAAACACCGCCGAAGGTTATTCAAGTGAAAGCGAGGGGTTCTTCGAGTTTTGAATATCTCACTAGTATTAAGTTCAGTGAAGCTGTAAATCCAGAACAATATCACGTTGAACGTGACATAATTCAGAAAAAGGCGATAGAAGTAAAATTTCATTTATTTATTACCTATTTATTATTTTATGCTTTATTTATTTTTTAAATTCTATTATTCGAAGAATTGAATTTTCAGTGCTTTTTTCAAATTTCTTATAAAATTATTTAACTTTAGTGTATAATAAAAAGGCCTAATATACAATTTTTAAATGCAGGCAATGAAAAAAGCTTTAATACGACAAGCACGTGGATTGAAGACCGAACACACTAATCACTGGCAAAGTTACTGGTACACTGGCTTCAGAATAAGTGAATCAAAAGCAAAGGGCGCAATCAATGGTCATAAAATTAATTCCACATTGTACTATGTCTTGTCGCAAGTGCCAAGAAGTATTCCAGATGTCGAGAAAGTAGTGTCAAATAGTGAAGGTTGTTACAAAGGTCATCACACATTGTAAGTTTAAATTTTCTTCAAATGTCGAATTAAAAAATAACCTTTTAAAATACTTATTTTAAAATTCATTCAAAAAAATGAAAGTGAAAATGGAAATAAATCCACAAGTTTTCTAAAGTTATTGTGCTTATTCTTGAAATTTAGTTTTTCTTAAATATTTCAAAATTAATTCAATTTTAAAAGAGTTGCGTTTACAACTTTCATAAATAGATAAACTTCAAAAGGTTCAGTTCTAATTTGAAATTTTGTAAACATTCAATTTTTTATAAATTAGTTAAATAATAAAAGTTTCACAGGAATTCTATTATTTACAAATTCTTTATAAATTTCTTCGCAATAATTCAATTATTTTCATAAATAATCCAAATTTTTTTACAGAGATTCAATTATTTTCATAAATAATAAAAAACTTTATAGGTTTACAATTATTTTCATAAATAATAAAACTCGTCGCAGAATTTAAATTATTTTTAATACAAATTTTAGTGGAATTTCTCGAAAGATGTAATTATTCTTAAAAATTTTATTAAAACTCATCAAAGAAATTCAATTACTTTAAAAAGCCTTCCTATAATTTATGGAAATATTTTCAATAGGAAATATTTCCTTCATTTGAACGTTTAAAACTTGTGGATCAGAACTTTGGTAATTTCAAATTCATTTTAGAAATAATTTTTTAGTTTTAAAATTTAAATAAAATCTTCAATTATTCAATTCAATTTGACATTTAAAGTTAATTGTCAAATTATTGTTGCGTGATTGAATTAATTTTTAAGTAAGCAGAAATTTAAGTTTATTTTACATTTGTTTTAAATCATTATAAGCAATTTTTACTCTAACAATTTTTTAATCAATTAGAAATGCGCCGAAATTGTGGGAAGACACTTCTTCGATCGACCAGGTAAACGATGTTGTTCAAGCATGGCTAATAACATTAGAAAAACAAGGTTGTCATCGTCTTACAACCGGAAGTCCCTCCGCCGTTCAACAAGCAATCGTCCTTAGTTTAGGCAGCTTACGATTTACCAATCAACATTTGGAATTCAATATGGAACCTCAATATCTTCACCGCGACTATTTATTCAGGTATATAAATGAATAATTTTATTTATAAATTTTTAATTTTATTTAATTTTATTATATTATTTATTTTATTTTATTTTTAATTTTATTTTTAAAAAAATCTCCATAATTGAAGGTCCCGATCAAAGAACTGATTATATCTTAAAAAATGTTCTTTGATTACAACCCTCGTTAAAAGTAAATCTGAAATTTTATAAATAGAAGCAAAATTAGAATTTTCAAAGTTTAATATTACATAAATTAAAATTATTAACATTAAATTTATTTTGGTTTACGATAATTACGTTTTATGTAATTTTAAAATTTCCCATTGTTCTTTTGGTTATAATTGGAAAATTTAATTTTCAGGAGAATAAGTTATGGAAACATTACACATTTGAATATATCGGTGTCTGTCAATGAAGATAATCGAGCAATTTTGGGAGTGACAATAGATCGCGGTGATAGCGGTTTTTACGCGTGCGACGCTGGTTGTTTAGATGATCCAATTTCCCTTAGTCAAACCTACACGAATTTTCCAGTTAAATTAACGCAACCGTTTACATCTGTTCTTTATATTACATCAGATTATCAACATATTCTCGATCTCCGAAAGACTCTGCATGTTCACACTATTGATGAAGGTAAGGAACAATTTTTAATTATTCTCGAATAAAACATCAAGTTTATATTAATTAAGTAGCAAATGTTACTAATTAAGTAGCAAATATTACAAATTTAGAAGCAAATTATATTAAATTTGTTATTATGCAAATTAAAACATTTTTTATTTTTAAATATTAACTTCAATTTTTGAATAATTGAATAATTGAATTTTTTCGAAAAATATTATAAAATTTTTTTTTAAATTTGAATTCTTTCATGAAATGTTATTAAAATTGTATTAAAAATAATTGAATTTTTGAAAAGGAATTTACTATCTATAAATATAATTAAATAATTAGTTATTAAATTTTTAATAAATTTTTATTAAAGTTTTTATTAAATTTAGTGAATTAGTGTAGTTTGTTAATTTAGTATTAAAAATTAAATTAGTTTTAAAAAGTAAATTAGTATTCAAAAGAGAATTAATTTGTTAATTGTAAAAATATTTTCTCTAATTTAGCACCAGCTCATGATCATCACGTAATTGCGTTACACAAGCACGGACATCAACTTGGAGGTTTACCAACATTCTTTTGGGTAACTATAGGCTTTTTAATAGTCGTCTTTCATCTCTTTCTCTGTAAGTTAATGATCACTGAATATCGGGGACATCAAGATCGACAAAAAGTCCGCTATAATAAACCATAATTCAGTAAACTATGTAAATATTCATTTCACTAAGATGTACATATATATTTTTACGAAAAGAAAAAAAATGGAGAACCAATTGTGATTAACTATTTAGATGAACTAGCGATCTAGAAGTTAGATTTCTTTTCCTCGACATTTATTATAGAAAGAAAAAAATATTAACATATTTAAATATGATAACAAACTACATTCAAATACAAATTCGAAAATAATTCAAAGGAAATTTAGTAATTATAGAAAAAAAATCACTTTCAAATTTTTCATTATTTCGTAATTTACAAAGTAGAATTGTCTTTTGATAAATGAAAAATATTTTTAATATATTTTATTATTAAACTTTACATTATTTTTACTCTTATTATTAGTTTTCATTACTTCAAAAAATAAAAAAATTATTTTATAAAAAATATTTTAAGAAATTTTTCCAATTTTTATTTTTTGGAGAAATGGAAAATTATATATTTATCAGGGTTGCCACAGGTCAGGGAAAAGACAGGGATTTTTATTTAAGTAACTGAAAAAAATTGAATTTTGGAGAAGTTACAAATGATTGCAGAAATTCAATTATGATCAAAAATTTTAATAAAATTCTTTGCAAATTTCAATTATTTTCAAAAAAATTTTCTCAATTCAATGATTTCCAATATCTGCAGTTTTAATAAAATTTTTCAAAAGAATTCAATTATTTAAAAAAAAAATTTTTGATAAAATTCTAAGCAAACTTTGCAATAATTCAATTATTTTCATAAATAATAACATTTTTTACAAAAATTAAATTATTTTCATGAATAATAAAATTCATCATAGAATTTCAATTATTTTTAATACAATTGTAATTGAATTCCTCGAATAATTTAATTATTCTTGAAAATTTTATTAAAATTTCTCGAAAAAATTCAAATTTATTGATAAAATTCTTTCTGATAATTTAGTTTCGAAAAACATTTATTTATTCAATAAATTATTTATTTTTGTATTTAAATAATTGAATTCTTGTAGAATTTTCCAATAAAAATTGATTTGAAAATGAATATTATAGTTAAAATTTTAGATAATAATTGAATATTAAAAGCATTATAGCATGAATTTTTAAAAATAATTGATAATTGAATTCTTTCGAAAAATTTTAATAAAATTTTGGAAAATAATTACATTTTTCGAAGAATTTACTTAAAATTGTATTAAAAATAATTGAAATCCTGTGAAGAATTTTGATTAATTTATGAAAGTAATTGAATTCTAGCAATGAATTTTTTCAAATTTTTTTTTAAATAATTGAAATAATGTAAAGAATCTTATTATTTATGAAAATAATTGAATACCTGCATCGAAGTTTATTACATTTTTTTAAATAATTAAATTCTTTTGAGAACTTTTATTAAAAAAGTAGATTGTGAAAATATTTGAATTTCAACGAAGAATTTCATTATATTCGTGAAATGTAATTAAATTCTTACAAAAAAATTAAGAGAATAATTCCATTTTTCTATGAATTTACTTTAAATTGTATTATAAATAATTGAAATCCTCAGGAAAATTTTATAATTTATGAAAATAATGGAATTCTTACAACGAATTTTATAAATTTTTTTTAAATAATTGAATTCATGTGGAAAATTTTATTATACTTGTAAAATAATTGAATTTATGCAACGAATTTTATTACATTTTATTTAAATAAAAATTATATTCTTTTGAAAACTTGTATTAAAAATGTAAATTTTGAAAATTTTTGAATTTCACCGAAAAATTTCATTATTTGTAAAATGTACCTAATTTAATTTTTGCAAAAAATTTTTGAAGATAATTTTATTTTTCGAGAAATTTATTTAAAATTGTATTAAAAATAATTGAAACCATGTGAAGAATTTTATTATTTATGAAAATAATTGACTTCTTGCAACGAATTTTATTGTTTGCGAATAATTTTACAATTTAAGAAATTCGTAAGTAAATGTAATAGAATGTTTTTTTTTTGAGTATCTAATAATTTTTAGAGTGAATCAAAATATTCTTTATGGTCAGGGAAAAAGTGAAAATCAGTCAGGAAAAAGTCTGGAAATCAGGGAAAAGTCAGGGAAAAATAAAATTAAATATTTGTGGCAACCCTGAATTATTCATTTTCTGCTGGGAAATAATTTTCGATAGATGATAATATAACGATAGATTTTTTTTTTGTTTTGTTTATTTAATACTATTAAGACTTAAAATGTAAAGAAAAGAAAGTTGAAGTAAACATAGTTGATAATGAATTTGTATATTTACAAAGGGAAAGGAAACATTTTTCGTGGTGACTAACTAATTTCGAGTTTGCGATTTTATCTAAAAATCTACAACCACATACTAAACAGAGTATCTCGACTTTCGCTCTTTAAAGTGCGAATTTTCGCTTTTGTGTACAAAGATAATGACACTTTTTTTTAATAACAATATTTAACAATTTTTGCTTCAATTTTTTTTTATATATGAGATTTGATAGAGGAGCGATTCGTAATTTCTATTAATTTTTTTCTTTATCGTCATTCTACATTCACTCGATTTTCTTTAATCACTTTAAAATTTATTCGCTGTAATACATCTTTCTTTTTATGATAGATCGAAATTTTTTGGTAAATTACAGATGAATTTCATCATTAAGAAAAAATTCTTTTTTTCTTATGAATATATTCGCGTGTTTTCATGAGTTTTTTAAAAAGATTTTTCAAAAATCTTTTTTTTTTCTGAAATTCAAGTACATAGTTTCAGATGTGTAAAATTTGTTTTTGATTATAAATAATTTGATCTCTAAGATTTTTTTTTTTTGTTTTATGTACAATACGTTACAAAATCGTGTTTAAAATCAGTCCAGTTGAGGCAATTTATTTTCTTTTTTTAAAGTAATTTTCAACAATTTTTTGATGAAATTTATTTTTATTTTAGTTAAATAGAAACTTTGTTTCTATTCAATTAAAACAGGAATGCTTCGTTAAAATAATTCAAGTTGTATTTTTGAAAGTTATTACATTAAAAATGTTTAAAATTGAAATATGAATAATTAAATTACCTCGTGGAATTTGTTTGTAACGTCTAAAGCTTTGTCCCATTTTCATTGCAGTTTTTTTTCCTGTTTTTTCTGTTTTAACATTTACATTTATAAACATATCTAACGTACGCATTCATACCATTTTGAACATTCGACTTAATTATTATTAATTAATAACAGCCTAAGATTTTCGATTTTACGTATCACGCGAATTAATTTTTTTCATATGCTAAAAACATTTTTTTTTGTCTCAAACACAGTTAACGTGCATCTTATATTATTTTTTCGCTGAACGTGTTATTTGACTATTTTTTTTTTAATTGTAGGACTAATATTTTTTTTATTTATAATATATATATTTAGAATACTTCAGCTGTAGTTAACAACTCGTAATCAATCGACAGTAACTTGATAATGATTTGGAGCAATTATTTGTTTAATAAATAATTTAATAAAATATGAAAATATGTAACAAATTTATATATTATAAACTATATATATATATATGATTAAAGAGAATAATAAATAAGACTGATTGTTAAAAGAAAATCGACTGCTTTTTTATTTCGTAGATTTTAAATTGAGATTTTCTTTTAATTGAGAGTGAATAAATTTCACTAAGTGATGAAATAAATAATAAATATTTTTCGAGAGTATACGAACAATTATTCTATTAGTTTTTTAACACTGAATTTATTAATACTGCCAATATGGTATTAATATTTTTTTTTCATTCTTTGGCGTTTTCTAACAATCAACCATTTAATTTATTTTTATTTTATATATCTCTTATACGTGTATATATTATTTAATATATTGTATGTATATATATTTCTCGAAACACATCCGACAGATTTGAAATCTGCACAGAAGATTTTAATTTAAAGGATCATTTTCTTTTGGCGTTTTCTTTTATATTTATGTTCCATTTTCTTTGGTTAAGCTGTATGACTTTTTTCGTATATAATTATTAGTATATGTAGAGTTTAATTTTCTAAAGTCTTGAATTACAAAGATTGCTCCTCATTTATTTTATTTATTTTATTTATTATTATTTTTTTTATATCGACGATACGATTAAAACTAAGCCACTTGAAAATCAAGAGGCCTAAATGCTATTTCAGTTTCATCACCCATAGTCTTTCATTTTATTTACAAAAAAGTGATTAAATATATCTCACTAAATAAATTTTTGAAAAGAAAGAATATTTTGTTAAAAAAAAAATTCAACGTTTTGAGATTGATTCATTTTCTCTATTTTTTGCATGAAAATTAAGATAAATAAAAATTGAGATTTAGAAAAAAAATATTATTTACACATTGATATAATTATTTTGATTATCATAATTATACGATTATATTTACAATTTATTTTGTTCGTCTATATCGAGCGTTTATTATAATTATAATCATCGACAGTAATTTTACTCTTAACTAATTCTAATATGTACAAATTTCTTAATTATTTATAGAATAGACTTTAGCTTGTACTATGATTTTATTTAATTACAAAAACAAATTATTTTCACGTACGTGTATAATTTTGAGAAACACTCCTTTTAATGAAAACGCTGGGGTTGATTTTTATAATTGAAGAACCTTATAATCAATTTTTCTTTTCACTTAAAGTTAAAATTTAAACAATTTTCTAATGCTGTATTTAAAAATTTTTTAATTTTAAATAGTTAAAAAAATTTAAAGAATAATATTTTTTTTTAATTAAAAAATTTTTTTTTGTATATTAAATATTAATTTTTTTTTTAATAAATTGTCACAAAAATTTAATTTTGAAAAAGTGTTTCTCTAACGAATTTTTTTGAATATTTAATTTGTCAGACCTTTATTGGGCTTGAACAATGCCTTATCTAACAATTCTTTTTGTGCCGCAAGTTGATAATTGTTTTTTTTTTTAAATATTTTATTTCACGAAAATGACGAGTAGTAGATAACAGATATTTACTTTACACGTGTATGTAATTAGTTTTTCTTTAATTAATTAGCTTCAAATTCGAGTTTTTCTCCCTATTTGAATATTATATATATTTTGGTTTTCA